GCTAAGTAGGCCGTGCAAATTAATATTTGACACTGCAACACACATGGTCTGCGCGTATCGGGTGCTCTTTTCCTACATTCACATCTTCAATTGATTTAAAATTGCTTGTATTTTTACTTCTGTGCTATTTTCATGACACGTGTATATTAAGTCTACTAGTTACATTTTAGGAAATAAAACACAATGGGTAATAAAATGAAATGAACTGAAATTCATTTATTTGTTATATGTAGACAATTAAATAACTCTTAAATGACAAGTCAATACACACAGTACTTGATCTCTATTTACAAAATATTGGTTATATTATTATTATTAAGTTCAGTTAATTTTCTGTAGTCTTATAATATAATATTTCCTCTATTTTATGTAAATTCTTTTTTTTCACCGAAATACATAATTTATTTTAATCAATATCTAAGTGAACCATGAGTATCATTAAAATTTCGCAATTTAAATTTCAATTAAATTAAAAATCGCCATTTTTCTTTAATAAATCTAAAATCGACTTTATATTTACAATCACTATTTCGCGGCTTTTAAGTTTTTGTTTCAAAACCTTAACATCTTATCGTAATTTTGGGGCTTTTCTCGGGGTATTTTTTATTTCTTGCGTTTGAGTACTTAATTCCTCTTGTTTGACCTTTATATAGGACATTTTCCAGAAATTCCAACGTCATATTTACTAGAAGATACTCCTCGTTCGCTTAACGTCAGGCAAATGATATACATGCTTGCGTGCGACGTTATTCAATACAATAAAAAAAAGTTCAAAAAATACCACGTGGTGGCTCTTGTAATATGAAAAATACATTGCAAAATTATAGTTTTTCACGATTGTTTTTTCAAATTTAGTATATGACATAGATTAAGTACAATTTACAAGACAAATGGTATTAAATATTATAATGAGAAAAAATATCTCACATTTTAAAAATATATGCTTACACTAGTAAAAATTTATCAATGAATGTGACATATGGAAGGATATTCCACAAACTGGAGATGATTCTCGCTTACAACCACTTACAATACAAGTGTTCACCATGATTACACGGAAACTTTCACGATTTTCGAAAAAAAACAAGCCACAAGCTGTATCAGTGCCCTTTTAACTTCGAACTACAAACGTAAATAGACGCCATTTTTCTTTTGATCCATTCATAGCTCTTTTTCGGTGATGCCAGCAATTAATCTGGCTTCCCACCAAATTCAACATGTAAACCATCAGAAATCTACGTACCTACCATTAAATTTTCCATTAAACAGAGTTCTTATTATTATAGAACAATAATTATTTTGTTAATGAGCTTTATTAATATATGATGCTCTATTAAAAATCAACATATATCATATAATCAATACTACTTCTATAATTTATTTTAATAAATTGTCATCATCAGAAACTAATTTCACCATAACTTTGTACGTTTCTTTTGAACCAATTTAATTTTTGACGTTGATGGAAATTCTAAATTGTCGCAAAATTTTCTAGTTAAGTATAAGTCACATCGCTTAAATAATATTATTTAGATATATTATTGTCATAAAATGTTTACAATCCTGTAAAGTAGATTGATTTTAACCTTTTCGATAATTTTCAACAACGCCCAAGCTACTAAAAAATCCACTAACCATTAAAAGCCATTTTTAATAACTAAGACAGGGGTCCAAATTACGAGAATTTGTGGAAAATCCTATAAGCTAGCTACACTGCTTTTTGTTTGTAAAATGTGCGAGAGGGACACCACCACTTAATAATCATTCTCTTTTCAGACCGTTTTTCCCACGGAATAGATTTATCTATTCCGTGGTTTTTCCTTACATCTTTTGCTATTTAAAAATAAACTTTAAGCCATAGAGATAAAGTATATTTTTAGTTTTTATGTCAAACCAAGTAAGCACTCCAGTTAGAATAGTAACTAGTAACTCCACGAGTTATATTCCATAAGCTAGAAGCAGTTAGTCAGATAGTTGCCAGATTACCCAATTTAAAGAATCCATACGATTTTGACAAAGTGAATGTAATACTGACGTACTAGTTAGGAGTTTCCCAAATTAGTTTTGCATTAGTTAGTTGAATTCGCATACTCAAGTAACGCCTCAATACCCATAAGTTATTTCGTTTTATCTTAACTGACATGTCCGGTGGTCTGATCACAAATCTACTTCATACTATAACATAAATAGTTTAAACCATATCATATATAATTCTTTTAAATTTGGGCGGTCCATTACATTTGGTACACAACAAATATTCTTTCAACTTTTGTCACAAAATAATTGGCTTGTTGGCGTAATTTCTTTTGCTTGAAAAAACGAATCATTTTTTTAAAGGGATTTTATGACCTGGTAACTAAGATCTGTAAGCCATGTCTTAATTGTTTATATTCTTATTTTTATGGAAAATGATAATATAGAGTGAAATAAAATGAAAGAAAATGAAATGAAGATGATTAATTTGAAACATTAATCAACTGGGATGAAATTAAATGAAATGAAGAATTTAAAGTCGTGGCTTAAAGGATAAGATGTCCGGTGCATTCGTGTTGAGCGATGCACCGGTGTTCGAATCTCAGGCGGGTACCAATTTTTCTAATGAAATACGTACTCAACAAATGTTCACGATTGACTTCCACGGTGAAGGAATAGCATCGTGTAATAAAAATCAAACCCGCAAAATTATAATTTGCGTAATTACTGGTGGTAGGACCTCTTGTGAGTCCACACGGGTAGGTACCACCACCCTGCCTATTTCTGCCGGGAAGCAGTAATGCGTTTTGGTTTGAAGGGTGGGGCAGCCGTTGTAACTATACTGAGACCTTAGAACTTATATCTTAACTTATTTTGTCTATTTAGTGTTTCTTGAGGTTTGAATGTGCAATAACGGTGGTTTATTAACTGCAAAAGTGCACAAATATGGGAAAATAAAACAAAGCCGCTGGACTTAACTTTTCGGGATCCTCAAAAAAGTCCACTGAAAAGTTCTCAGTACATGACTACCATTTTACTAAGATTATATTTCAACCCATATCATCTTATCTCATCTCAGTTGATTAATGTCTCAAATTATTCATCCTCATTTCATTTCACTCCATATTATCATTTTTCATAAAAATAAGAATATAAATAAAAATAAGACATGACCTAAAGGTCTCAGTTAACAGGTCATAAAATCTCTTTAAAAAAAACTATTAATTGTAGACAAAACGTCATGTCTTTCAACATCAACACGTTAAGTTTCTAAATAAACTGAACTAAATCATTATATCTACAAACTAGTATGATAATAAAATGGACGCATACGATATATTCAAGAAATTAACGAAAGGATTGACATTTAAAAGACCTGTGTTGGGTGTTAAAAACAATGTAAGTCAATATAACCTCTTAGTTATGTTTACAACGTGAAATCCCTGGTTTTCACTTAATCTAGCCTAAACAGCGTTCTCTAGAAAACATTGATATGTGCCGTTTTTTTCGTTTTATTAAACTCTAGCGTATATTTCGTTGATTTGAGCTAAATCATGTTCTACAAATGTGGTACTTTTGACTTTCAAGCTAAGTTTATGGTTATAATCAAATTCTAAATAGAAAAAGTAAAAAAACACTAAAATTAAGATTCCAAAATGTTTACAGTATATTTTAGTTAAGACCAATCGTGTCACTAATGAATTTCAAGCAATATGAAGACCCTAGTATTGTCAAACAATCAATCGATGTTTTAAACTACAATCGAATTCAATTCAATCCAAATTATTAATTATCATGCACGAATACAATTTTGATTTATGCCTTATGGTATCTTAACGTAATTGTTCATTGTCCACATTAATTAAACAACCAATTGTCTAATAATATTTAAATACCTAAACAGCAACAGAAAACTAAACAGGAGACATTAAAACAAGAAATTGAAATCAAGAAGGAAGAATTGAGCGACTTTGAAGATGTCGCAGAAATTGAGAATGATTTGGAAAACTCCCAACCAAGTTCTGGAAGTGAGGAAGAAGAATTGGAGTTAGTTGATGGTGTTAAAGTTGGTAAAAAAAAGCGGGGAAAGAAAAAGAAGGAAATAACCGAAGATTTGAAGAAGAAACTGATACAAGAGGAGGTTTGTAATTGATAAATGAAATCTAAGATATTAGCAGTAAAGATTTTCATTTCTATTAAAAAAAAGGTTGTATGAGGTATGATATTATGCTTACTAGTTTTATTTAGTGAAATATGAACTTAAGCAAACATGTTGGATAACAAGTCAGTTCATTGTGTGTCTGTTTTTATACAACCTGTTATTCTTTTTATTAAAAGGAAAACAAACACCCTTACTAATACACTATATATGATAACTTTATGTGCTCTAGATTGTTTGTTCAACATGAGATTCAAGGTTTCAAACAAATTCTCAAATTTAAAACAAAATAAGTAATCAATGGTTGAGTTTCATTTGTTTCCTGTATAGTGCACAAAATAAGGTGATATTAATCATTTTTTTCTAAGACACTAATATTTATTTATTTTATTTTATTTATTTATTTTATTTATATATTTTATTAGGCTCACAATACACATCACAAGCTAAAGATATATAAAAACACACAAATAAAAAGAAACAAAATCTGGCTTGCAGCATAACTTATGTGCGCACGACAAAACAAGACATATAGTGCTGAATTTGTATAACAACGTTCCTTACAATTACTACAAAACAACACGATAACGAAAACTAACCTAACGTATAATGTAAGGGAAAAAAATATATTCACAATATAATATATTAAACAATTACATTAACCTTCCTATTAATAATGTGGAGGATGCCCTTGAACATTTTTCTAAACGTAACTAACCTACAAGTAAAAATATCTAACTCAGGTGACAACCTTGCCAGTTCGTTATAGGTACGACACATTCGTAATGGGATTATAGTAAGATATATTGTTATAATATTGAATATATAATATTGAATTTATCATGGATTTCTTTTGTTTGATTGCAGGAAAATCGTTTTCGTAATGAACATGGTATCAAAGCAGTCGGTCGACACATACCACCAGCACTAAAAGACTTTTCAGACTTGACTGTCCGCTACAATGTTCCACAGGCTCTTGTTGATACAGTCACCCAGTGTGGATACAGTGAACCCACTCCAGTTCAACGGCAAGCAATGGCTTGCATGTTGGAGGTAGGTAGTTTGTCTTTAACAAATAATTTGCCTTAAATAGATCATAGCAAAGCCAATGAAGGCTTACTAAAAAATAAACTAAACTTGAAAATGTATCATGAATAACATTTTCAAATTTTCTACTATAAAGCAAAAAATAAACCTTAGTAACCTGGAGAGTAATGAGACTTATTTAAATAATTCACATTCCACCTGGTGATAAGTGGTTATCGTAGCACATACACATTAGAATGGAATGCTGTCACTTACCTTGAGGCGTGAGGGCCAAATCTCCCTTGTATTGTACAGTGACCATCCCGCTCTTTAAAACAGAATGCAAAACTCCATTTCTTTTATCAAAATCAAAAACTTTTCATTCATTTGAGTCATTGATCGTTAATGTTGCCATTAACAAAATATTGTTTTCAGGACCGTCAAATAGTAGCGTGCGCTCCGACAGGGTCGGGTAAAACTGCCGCGTTTATCGTACCCCTCCTTCATACATTAGGAACGCACCAAGGCGGTCCTAGAGCCCTAATACTGTGCCCTACTAGGGAACTGGCTCATCAAATATACAGAGAGGCCCTGCGACTGAGTGCCTCAACTCAACTCAGAGTTACAGTTGTAAAGAATTTGAAAGAAAGTAAAGTTAAAGAACGCGAAGCTACCTTCCGGAAAAGCGGTAAGCGTTACTAATTTTTAGTAGTGGTCAAGTGTCTTGTGACGCTGTATGGGTGTGTAAGCCATTATACACCTAATGGATTTCAGACACAGATCATCTTTTCGCATTAAAAGTGTACAATTTCCAAAAATATTCAAAATTGAGTTAATATGCGGAATCATTTGGTAACACCAGTATTTTTCTCATAAATACTGTCAAAAGAGCGTAGTTTTGTTTTCGTTTTTTTTTTTTTAGTTTTCTTATGTTTTGACTACTATTAACAGAATTAATACATAATTATAATTTTTTAATTAATACATAATTATAAAAGACAGATAGTGTAACTGGTAAAAAATAAATGTTGCAAAGATGATTAATATTAAAAATATCACATGTTAAACTTTTAAAACACTCCTGTAAAATTAGTAAGTTTTGAGATTATACAGTTTTAATACGAGAAGGCGAGATGTTTTTGGGCTCGGGTAACTACTTGACATGAGGTGGCCTGTGAACTCATATGTGCAGAATATTCTTTTTAATTGTGTTTAAAATTGAACTTTGTCTAATTACAGATATAGTTATAAGTACACCAAATCGACTCTGCTATCTACTGAATCAAGATCAAGTTAATATTTCTTTAGAGAAGTGAGTTTCATACATATACTCCATTTTGATAGACTTCTTTGTTGTGGTGACCCCGCACTGGCCTGGTGTTAATTAAGGATCTTTGTGTGTTCGGGTCTTGCAGTATTTATTCTTGTCTTGTATGTCACAACAAAATCCTTGCTGTTAGTTGCTAAATGTGATACATATCAATGAAAAGGAACATGTAACCAACAGACGTTAGTTCATAGACATCAACAACTGAAGTAACATCCTTGGTAACAACAAGGTTGGTGGCAGCAACCTGGTCAGAGTTGACGTCCCATTGGTAACTGCTGCTGTAAAAGATGACAGTCGTTGTGCCAGTTTAATTCTTGTTACGTTATGTAATTGTTTTATCCAGGAAGTCGTTACTGAACTCACAATCAGTACTCGATACAGACATACCAGACCTCTGATCTACTAATATGTGACGGTTTTCATAATATTTTGAAGTTATCTTCCCAAATAAATACCATATCACAGCTTAAAATCTAACTAATTATTTTCCTCTCACCAGAGTACGCTGGCTTATAATCGACGAGGCCGACAAGCTGTTCGAGGGCTCCTCAGAGCAGGAATCCGACTTCAGGCAGCAGCTGGAGCAGATAATGTGCCGCTGTGGACCGAAACGCCTCATCGCCATGTTCAGCGCCACGCACACGCCGCCCGTCGCCCGCTGGAGCCGCCGACACCTGCGCGGGCTCGTCAACGTCACCGTGGGACAGAGGTGCGCGGGCGGTGGGAAGCTTTGAAAGCTCCTTTACTTTTTTTTTACTGCTATTCCAACTACGTCCAGACGGGTGTAGGTGAGCTCACGGGCTCAACCTGAGAAAGCTTGTTAACATTAGCCCCAACAAGAGCAGTGCTTCCCAGAATGCTTTTTGCTGGTGGTAGGACCTCTTGCGAGTCCGCACGGGTAGGTACCACCGCCCTGCCTATTTCTGCCGTGAAGCAATAATGCGTTTTGGTTTGAAGGCTGGGGCAGCCGTTGTAGCTATACTGAGACCTTAGAACTTATATCTCAAGGTGGGTGGCGGCATTTACGTTGTAGTTATCTATGGGCTCTAGTAACCAGTTAACACCGGGTGGGCTAGGTGTGAGATCGTCCACCCAACTAAGAAAAAAAATGTACCATCGGAACACAAGCAATACATTGAGCGAATCCGGCGAGAAACTCAATGGGCTCGCCTTTACCGCAAACCCACAAGTCTTCACGTTTCGTTACGTTCCAGGAACGCTGCGACCAGCCTGGTGGAGCAGCAGCTGCTGTACTGCGGCAACGAGGACGGCAAGCTGGTGGCGTTCCGGCAGCTCGTGCAGCAAGGACTCAAGCCCCCCGTGCTGGGTGGGTCACGTACTTTTCGTAAAACAAGTGAATTGGACTGCATCTAGCAGTGCCACCTCAGGCCACCGGGTCTGCTTGGGGACTACCACACCATACTGTCAATAAATAGCGCAAAACAAGTGTTCGTTTAGTTTCAATATATGAAGAAACTAATAATTATTTCATTCCTAAAAAGTGGTATCCATATTTGACAACATTTTTTTTTATTGCCTTTGTAGGCAGACGAGCATACGAACCACCTGATGGTGAGTGGTTGCTGTCGCCCATGGACTTCAGCAATGCCAGGGGCAAAGCCAAGCCCCTGCCTATATGTCGAAAGGTTCGTAAGGTCGAAAGCTTCCCTACCTATTCGCTGGTAGCCTAGTGGGTAGTCGGAAGTCGGAATCAAACTGAGAGAATTTGCCCTAGCAAGAGCAGTGCTTTCATCTCAGAATCTACCACCGAGAAGATCCGGCGAGAAACTTAGTGTGTTGTGTATATGAACTAGCTTACACGCACAATTCTTGTATATGAAATACATTAGCTGAAAGTCTCCATCTCCAAGCGCCATCTGTAGTGCGTACTGTAACCAAAACCTTTCTAATTAATGCTGTTACCGAATGAAGCCCCCGATCCATTAACGGTGCTTTTAGGTACCTCAAGCACCGGTCACCGTCCTCGCTGAACCCGTCGCTTGCGACGAAGGGCTCACCGAGCGAATTAACCCATAGACACAAGTAGCCCACTGAGTTTCTCACCGGATCTTCTCAGTGGGTCGCGTTTCCGATCCGGTGGTAGATTCTGCGAAGCAGTGCTCTTGCTAGGGCCAGTGTTAGCAACACTCTGGCTTGAGCCCCGTGAGCTCACCTACACGTTAGGGCGATGCTGAAATAGCCTCTCAAGGCTATCAGCATAGGTAGGAAAAAAAAGAATTTTTCAATAAACAAGTAAAATGTTCATTTATATAGAGGATGTGCCTGTGCCGAAACAAGAATAAATTAAATTATGATTAAATTAGTTATTATTATTTTTAAAGTACGGTTTAAATATTTTGTTTCCAGTATTCGTACAAAGTAAAGATCGCGCGAAACAATTGTTCAAGGAACTCATATATGACGGCATCAACGTGGACGTCATACACGCAGACAGGACTCAGGCTCAGGTACGGGCGAGGAAGCAGCCACCTACAGTGATTGTTTCTTTGTTTTGTTAAGACAAGCAAAGGAAATGTAGCCTATAAATCCTAGCTTTTAATATTTTAAAATTAGTCTTTTTTCGTTTTTTACATGGCAAAACTTTAAGCCTAAATCTTCTTAAAATAAGTATTTTTAAATTTAATCTTGGCAATACAATATTCAAATGTATTTGACACAATACCTAACACAAAATTAGTTCACAGATAAATAACATTATAAAGATATATCACTTACCTGCGTATCAATTCGGTAATAAGTAAGCGGTAATTCAACTAAATCGTTGGACATCTTGGTAATGGACCGTATATGGATGGACAATATATAATTGGTACCAAAACGTATGTTGAAATTTGAGTAATTGATGTGATTCTCACTATCATACAGATATTGATTTTTTTTTAGTATTTCTGTCATGGGCTAAAAACTCGTGTTGTTGAGTGGTAGTAAACGTATAAAAAAAACATGGAAAGGGCTTCAGTGTAAATAATAATTATTGAATGGGTTTGTGAGTTTTTTAATGGAATAATAAAATTTCTTTCAGCGAGACAACGTGGTCCGCAGCTTCCGCGTGGGACGTATATGGGTCCTGATCAGCACCGAACTGATGGGCCGCGGGATCGACTTCCGGGGAGTGAATCTGGTCATCAACTACGACTTCCCACCCTCAGCCATATCTTACGTACACAGGTGAGCTGCGAGTCCGCGGGTCTGCTTAATGCTTTCTAGGTTATTCAAGCTGGACAAGCCATGAAACAGGGGTACTAAGACTTCGAACCTCTTAAAAAGGGTTGCAGCTTTCACTTTGTATTCAAGAAGTTATACTTCTTTGGCGTAATTGAATTATTGACAAACTAATCATACCAGATATTTATAGCCAGATCAACGTCACCTCACGCCATATGATCCTACGTCACGCCACGTCACATGACGTCACGTCACGCCACGTCACGTGACGTCACGTCACGCCACGTGTGGAACAAAATTCTCCACAAATCTTGATGAACAATCTTAACAATTAATTATATCTATGACTATGACTATGACGCGTCGGAATACAGTTTATGTATTCCGACGCGCGTCTAAAGAAGTTTAACTTCGAAAACTACATAACAATGTCGCTGGTGGCAGGATCGGGCGCGCGGGCCGGGCCGGTCACAGGGGGACGGCTGTGACGTTCTTCACGCAGGATGACGTCGTCAACTTGAGGAGGTTCGTATTGAGAACAATCGCTAGACTTGATCGAGTCGCACCAGTTAGCAATGACGAGCCGGGGACGACCTTAACGACTTTTGTTATTGTTTATACCGGTGAACGTTATAGAGCAGCGGTCGGGGAACTTTTTTTAATTATTATCCCAAAATATTGTTGTGTAAATTGATATTACCCCATGACGAAGAACAAAAAAAAAACCAAATCGCTTCTTTTTAGCATCTTCCATATAAAAATAAAAATATAAAAATATATTTCATAAAGCCCCCATGATAATTTTGAAAAGAAAACAATAACTAAAAATTTAACGATTGTAAAGAAGTTTGAATTCAATATATAATTTTTACTCACAAAAGTTTCATTTGTACCCCCCAAAATGTCATTTTACCCCATTTGGGATAACACCCCCCGGTTCCCCGACCGCTAATATAGAAGCTCATTTAGGGTTCAGTGGTTACCAGGGCCCATGGACATCAACAAACGTCGCCACCTTGAGACATCACTTCTAAGTCTCACTTGTATAGTACCGAAACGCATTACTGCTTCACGGCAGAAATAGACAAAGTGGTGGTACCAGTGCGGATTCACAAGACGCCCTACCACTGTCAGGCCGCTATGCCATTATAATACTCACTGATCGATGACGATAAATACTGGAGGAGACATTGGATGTGTCTTTACTGTCACCTCGTACCATCTCTCACGTCCTCCCCCGCAGCATCGCGTCGGTGATGAAGCAGTCCGGCTGCGAGGTCCCGGAGTACATGCTGAAGCTGAAGCAAGATTCCAACAAACGGAAGCGGCTGCTCAAGAAGGCTCCGCATCGAGATAAAATATCCACTATACTAGAGAAACCGGTCAAGTGAGTGTGTGAGGGTTTAGTGGAGAACACCTCAAGCAAACCGCGCATATAATATACATAAATAAATCTAAATAAAAAAGACATGCCCGCAGAGTTTCTTGCCAGTTATTCTCAGGACGGTGGCTAGTTCTTGTGAATTGGCGGTAGTTCGTTTTGACGTTCAACAAGTATGTACTTTCATTTATGTTGAACAAAAAAAATTGATTTGATTTGATTTTATTGCGTAGATGGGTGGACGAGCTCACAGCTCACCTGGTTTTAAGTGGAGCCCATAGACATCTACAATGTAAATGTGCCATCCACCTTGAGATAAGAGTTCTAAGATCTCAGTGTAGTTACAACGGCTGCCCCACCCTTCAAACCGAAACGCATTACTGCTTCACCGTAGAAATAGGCAGGGTGGTGGTACCTACCCGCGCGGACTCACAAGATGTCCTACCACCAGTAATTAGGCAAAATATAATTTTGCAGGTTTCATTTTTCATATTTTTGCATATTTCCTACTGTTGATTATTAAACAATCGATATTACATTTTGTACTGACTCGGTGGAGTAGTACTTAATGCCCCTGACGGCCGTACCGAGGGTCGTGGGTTCAATTCCCGCATTGGGCTAACATTCGTGTGATCAATAGCTTTACTTGCTCTATTTGCGAATACTAATTAAGGGCCGGATAACCGTGCGTGATTAGTTCCCAGTTATTATTATTATTATTATTATTATTGTTTTGTGACGTCACTGTACTCTATCGCACGTAAATGTTAGAAGCATCTGTGACAATCTCTATCACAATACGACAAGTGGACACGTGAAACCATAACAATGAATATTTTATATTTTACAGAAGGAAATTAGAAGAAGGAAAGGATTCTAATGTAAATTCAAAAGATACAGAGAAGATAAAGAACGGTAAACACAAGAAGCAAAGGAAAATTGATGGAACAAAAGAAAATGGCGCTCGCATAAGTACGAGCCAGAAGGAGAATAAAAGGAAAAAAATTAAAAAGAATAAAAATATTAAATTAGCCAAAAAACCTAAATCTGGAAGTTGATAATGTAAATAAATATACAAATAGTCATTGAATATAGTATTTTTATTGCAAAACGTAGATTTTAGAATGCAACGAGGTCAGCGAGAGGTCTGCAGATCTAAACTGCTTACACTGCTTGCTTTTTTCTTACACTATTTTCATTTCAATTTTTTCAATATTTTTTTTAATATTGAATTGTCATCGGTCCTTAATAAGTATACCAAATTTCGAGTTAATCTGACGTTTTGAAGGGGGTCAAAATCATGTTCAAATATTCCGTTACAAACATACATACGTCGGAAGCTAATAAAAGCGTATTAACAAGGGCATTGAAATTTAAAAAAAAAGCATTTTTAAAAATAAGTCGTTTTATTTTCTTATATATAAACTTCTAATATACACACCAAATGTTACAGTCTTTGATTTATTTACAAAAATATTTAATTTACAAAAATAAACTAAGCGACATGTGTATTCGCTCGTCCTGCTCACACATTATTCATTTATAATATCTGTAAGCGGGACAAATGTCTACAGCTTTACGAAAAAAACACCAAATGAATTAGTTTATAATCTATGCATAGCTGACATGAGATGACATAAATTATGTTTCATGATTGCATAGTGTTCAGTGTAATATCCCACACTTAAGCGCTTAGATATTAATCGGCTAATAAGCCATCATTATTACACGTTCGAAGAAAGACTACGTTGACAAAAGTAAAATAATTCACATAACTCCTCGGCCCTCGCGTTCCCGCCAAAAAGAGAGAATAATGAGCGCTATTTGTGGCATAAGAGATAGTTATCCAATTACAGAGCATAATGCGACTCAGTGACGCACAATGCCGAATTATGCTAAAGCTTAATTGGAACGTGAATTAGTTTTCAAATGCATCAGCAGAGTGTTGTGCTAAGAAACTACGACGAGACGAAAGCCTTACAATTTTTTTCAACATTAAATAATATTACTAACGATAATATAAACAAAATTTCGATCAATACTAACTTTAAAAAAAAACACGTCAATTTTCTGTCACTGAGTCGGTATCGATTGCGAGTATCACGCGAGAGCAGTACTTTTGAGAGTACTCGATTGTGCGAAGCGTTGCTGTAGTTGGAACATTCAACGTTGAGCATTATGCCGCATAATGCGCTCTTGTGCTGTCATTGGAAAACTACCAGAGTATTTCGCACTGACACGTATTTTACTTTGATTCTTCATAATAATATTTTAGTTTTTTAATAACAATTTCTCAATAAATGGTAGGAAAAGTGAAACTTAGTTGTATTTTTTGGAAAAACACGAGATAAAGTAAAGCTTGCAAAGTTTTAAACAAAAAAATAACGGAACTTGCGGTTTACACGATTTTTAGTTTCCTCTCACTATGCATGATACATAAGGCGATACTTAACATCACAATTTTTATCGTTAATGACAATATAAGTAAAATACCCTAACAATAAAGCCCCCAATTGGCTGGTAAAAAAAAACATTTTTTTAAAGAAAGAAATAAAACAATTCTTATTAACTAAACAACAAATAATATTTACATAATATACTTAACTTCTAATGTAAATTTTGCCTCCTTACAAAGTTGTCAACAATAATAAATTAATGAAATAATAATGAAATAATTTTTCTACAAACTAAATCGAATCTGTAATTTTGTAATTCCGATTAAATAATATTTTTAAGAATCACTGAATCAAGATTTTAGTTTAATTTATGTTAAATGTTATTTGTCATAACTAACCTCTATTTTTATAAACAACATAACATTAAGCCTTAGGTTTAAGTCTAACGATATTCCATTTTTATAATTTCGATAACTTACTATGAAATGCGTAATATAAGTCGGCTTCTTTAAATACTAATTAAACTTTTAAAGTACAACAACAATTTAGGACAAGATAATTTCTTTAAAAAACGCTTTGCAACGAACAGGTTCTTATACGTTGCCGTTATAGGGTCTCAGATAGCCATCGAAAAGTGACAAAAAAAAACGATAAATCACAAAATATCACACATAAGTTTGAACGATAGAAAAACAATGTCCATGTCTAAGAATTTCTAATTAAAATATCGAAGAAGCTCACTGATGTTGACACAGTTTGGACAACTAAATCCCAGATTTATGTGTGCGGGCATTGTGCGTGGCGAAATAACCATAAATTATGTTCAGATCAGTGTGTTTCTGGAAGATTTTAAAGTCGATTTGGCTTTTTTATGGATACATTCGATTACAGTGCGTTGGAAAATTAACGTTTGCCATAATTTTGAAGAAAAAAACCTAAACAGGTAATTTATCGGCTTTTGTCTAATCTACATTTTTGCACTTGTTACTACTTTTAATGGCAGAGGGTTTCGGCTAACCAGCTTTAAATATAACATCCCCACAGCTGTTTCACTACGGAAATAGCCGGCCAGTGAATCAAATCTGAATTTCACTGTAAGCGTATGTTATGCCAGTGAACTTACAGCTAAGAACCAACTGTAGTAATGAAATTTGCAATAGGCCCAATCTATTTGGTCCTAACGTCATTTATTTAACAAAACACACATCTTTGAAACGTATCAGACATATTTCAAAAAACAATTGATATCACAAATACAAAATCAAATAAAGTACATATTACTACGTTTTTATAAAAAACGAAAATCGACAAAGATCTATGACGCTTTATTCAGCTAAACGAATTCTAAACCATATTTGGGAACAAGATTCGCAGATGTCACATGAGTCATAGAGCCACACTATTTGTCATCAATGGATAGCTGCTATGGACATTGGATTCTACATGGTTGCTCAGCCACACCCGCGCGTCACTGATTTTTTTATCAAATCTCAGTGAACCATTGCATTATGGAATAGCCTTCTCGCTAGTTCTCCTGACAGTGACAAAACAAAGCCTATCTCTAAGAGATAAAGTACTTAAAATTTTGGTCGACTATAAAAATTAGGCTTCGATTTTCATGTGACTTCAACTGCTCTACCAGAGCGTTAATGAACGTTGCTGATCAAAGTACAAGTCCCATGAGTATCCTATTTAGCTTAGCCTCAATCTCCCTCACTCGCAGAGCCAATCACACGGCAACCTCGGCATTTTATTCGCAGGCCACGGCAAATAACCAGCCGTCTTGAAAACCCAATAGTCATAAGATACTTTGCTGATTAGAAGCACTAAAACTAACACTTCTAGGCCTATAATGTAGTAAATGTAGTCTGTCCAATCTCTGGGCGTGTGGCAGACGCGAGATTCCACCAGGTCCACCACCGGCCCTAGCCCATCCTGGCATTCCAGGCTTTTGTAATCCGGTACGCTCTTGAAATTTTCTAATAGCCATGGCTGAAATCAAATATAATTAACAGCATTAGTGTGAACAGGAAGATGAGCTTACCATCCATCTAGTGGTGAGTGGTTGCTGGAGCTAACAGATGTCACAACGTGAATTCCGCCACCTCAAGACATGATGAGGTCAAAGCTTCAACTGTCTTTTACTGGTGCAGAATGAGTGCCTTGCTGAAAAATGACGGTACCTATCCACGTGAGGTCACAATACGGGCTGCCATCATTAATTGCGCAAAATTAGAGAAATTGCTTGTTAAATTTTATTTTACTATCAGTACCTGCAGGATTTATTTGAGTACCATTTCAGCCGCATCCCTTAACACACATTAACTCTAATCCGATTTAAGGTCTATATTGTATCGATATGATCTTATCTTGTACTTAACTCCCGAGCGCATGAGGCTTCGTACTACACACGGCAAGTGACCCCAAATCTCTGAATCGTCTGAACTGTCAAACTAAATTGTCATCTAGGATGTTCAAAACATGGCAACACTGTTCGTTGCAGCAGCGCCGCGTCATGACGTTTTCCAAAAATGCTACATACAACATTTAAGATAGTTATAATTGACCTACAAATAGTTCATGTTAACTATTATAACTATCATTATGTAAAAGACGGTACATATTAAAATACAGTTTGTTGATTTCGTTCTGCCGCCTAGCAACTGAGGCGCTGACAGATGACGTTTTAGCAGCTCCGAGATAACATGGTGACTCAAAAATATCATCGGTATTCACCAACTCAATGTTGACCGTGGTTTTTTTTTGGTCAGGAGGAAATCGCCGGACTTCCGCCCTCCATTGAGGATGGCGGGCGGAGTATGTCAGAGTCGAACCGACTAAAACCTCCTGTCACTCAACAACCAAGTTCCAAACCTCGCATGAGACAGAACTCATGAAAAGGCAAAACAGGGTGACCGTGGTAATGACAGTGTCCTCGAATTACCACATTACTTTTCCACCAGTTATGTCATATGCGCGACTACAATCCGCAGCAGTAAAGAATAGCTTAAAACATAACAAAATACCTTCAATGTCTTCTCGGTGTTGCAGTCGCAGTGAATGAAGTTTCCCGCTATAGACAAAGCAGGTCCGGTCGTTTCAAAACTATTTGACAAGACGTACGTATGTATCTGCAAAAACAATTAAACTTACAAAATATATCTAATGTCTGCAATGCTCAATCGCTAAAAGCAGACATGTCGTTCTCCCACAGGCTAAATGCGTTCTCTCTTTTTATGGTCGCTTTTTCGTTTGACTCTCAAATCGCAACAATCCACACATCTAAGCAATAAAAAAAAATAAAAAAAAAAAAACAATGCTAAAGCCTTCGATCCCACAAAAGTCGTTGTCAAACATCTTATTAGTCTGTTATGTATTCGTCGTTCGTGTACTTGTTAAGTCTGCTATGAATGAATACGAAGACTTAAGGTTGCAACTCCTTCTCAGGCAGCACGGATGGTTACCACTATCCTATTTATTACTGTCATGAGTAACTACTTAGTTAACTACCAGTAGTTGTCAGTTTGAAGAGTGGGATTGACATTATACAATATAATTTCAATTTTTCAATTAATTTCGAATCCTGACGAAGCGTGTTGCGGATAATAATATGTACTTTTAGGTTATTAATCTACCTTGCATTTTGATTTAATAAATTTATAATGTCTTGGGTATTTCGATTTCATTTCTTCTTTTTTTCTACCTATTCGCTGGTGGCCTAAAGATTTATTCCAGCCACGCGCGACCGGGTAGGTGAGCTCACGGACTCAACCTGAGAGGATTTGTAGGACTTCGCAGAATCTACCACGGGATCGTAATGGTGACCCACTGAGAAGATCCGGAGAGAAACTCAGTAGGTTAAAATCTCATATTTCAAGGACGGCGTTCACGGTAAACAATTTAGGATGTCTGATTATCAACGCCTCTTGCTATCGACATTACTTTATTCATGAAACATCCGCATTATAGATGGAACTTAATTCAACTTACAGTCTTCAGTTTGTTATGTGCGATCGAGAAGAGCATGAAATTCCCGATGAACTTCGTTCCCTCGAGTTCTAGAATATTCGGAATGTCGTTGTAGTCCACGATCAGCTGCCGCAGATGTCCGTAGCTCTCATCCGCGCCAACCGCCTCAAGAGATGTTATCTATAAAGTATTCACAATTTAGCGCCGTCGATGTTTCCTACCACAGGATCGGACGTAGGTAGTTATTATACTGGTAGATATTCCAGCCTCTTTCCCCCTCTCTTTACTGGTAACCATTCGATCCACCTCTGCCGCGGATTATCCTCATGTTCAGGTCTGTAAGAAGATGTCTATCTCATGTCAAAGTAGGCGGTGGCGTACACTTTCAGGTTTCGGTAACCAGATACACTGAGATCTCATTCATATCTATGACATCTGTCATAAACCATTTCGACATGAAAGGCAACCGCTATAATCCTGAAAACAGACCGGGCCTAAATATCTGGAGGCCCGTTGTGGCCCTGCCGATTTCCACTCACATTATTGAAAGACACGTTCAACTTGACAGTATTGGGCGGCAGATTTGTCGGCATCTCCTTGAGCTGCCTCTCGGCGCAGTCCACCGAGACCAGGTTGGTGACCTCGTTCTCGATGATCTCCAGGCGCTCCGGGGCGCAGGTGCAGTTGATGTCAGCTGGTATTATCTCGCGGCATCTCTCATTCATCTGAACAACAGTGAAGAGTATTTCACGATGTTTGCATCACAAGAATGAAGTCGTCGTGGTCTAAAGGATAAGACGTCCGGTGCATTCGCAAAATTATAATTTGCGTAATCACTGGTGGTAGGACCTCTTGTGAGTCCGCACGGGTAGGTACCACCGCCCTGCCTATTTTCTGCCGTGAAGCAGTAATGCATTTCGGTTTGAAGGGTAGGGTAGCCGTTGTAACTATACTGAGACCTTAGAACTTATATCTCAAGGTGGGTGGCGCATTTACATTGTAGATGTCTATGGGCTCCAGTAACCACTTAACACCAGGTGGGCTGTGAGCTCGTCCACCCATCTAAGCAATAAAAAAAAAACAAGAATGATTAATTTTTATAGATTTATCATTTGGAATCGATTATTGTTTTTGTCTTTTGTTAGAATCAAATATAGAACCGCGTGTAATAAACGCGATAAAAGCTATTTACTCGTACGTACAAAGTATACTTCTCTTTAGAAAAGTACCTGTAAAAACGTTAAGAAATTCAGTAATCAACGAGGGGTTAAGAAGGTATTTTTAGGAAAAGGGGTACCAGTTTGACTACAGTCTCCATCGAAATTACACCTCTAGTCTAGATTATAATATTTTCGTGAATTGATTAAAGATATCGCGTCTTCATAATAAATATATCGAAACCAATTAAAATCTGTAAGATAACATATTCTCCTATTAAAGCGGTCACGGGTGAGCATGGACATATCATCCTGTGATTACGGTTTCAAGCTGTGGCATAATCACATGGCCAAAAGTACATAGGGCGTCTTACCTATAAGGCCACATAAATTGAACACAATTATACCAACTGTAAAATTGTGATTTTGCGATATTCAGTGCTCTAATTTTTAATGGTTCGCTTTTTATTCTAGTAACTCTGATTAATTTTTTACTACCTTGAGTAAAAGTCGCATGTATCGCAATCAGTCACCCTGAAGGCATAGTCCAGTAGAACCATGCCGCTCATGAAACAAAGCCACTAATTTGATCTAGTACTACATAAATGTCTATCAAGATGAATTAGTCATGAAATTAATGCTGACCATTTTCTGTATTTTAATAAGGTCTATGTTCACGAAGCTGACGTCTTTGAACCAGTTGAAGCTGAGATCCAAAGCGCAGAAGGTCTTGTTGTACTGGAGGAAGTGAACAAGAGAGCTGTTGGTCGTCTCCATCACTTTCTGGAAGTGTTTGCACGGCAGATAGTTGTTACCTGGTGAGACGGCGTCAAAATTAACACATTTCAAAATGAGATTTGGTAAGCTTTAACATTCAGAGTGAGCAACAGATTGGGACTTCTAGTACAAGAGGGGACAGCAAGACAGCGTCAGTAGACCAAGATTATGCAATGGCCGCTATGTGAGATTATACTCTATTGAAAACGATTTAAACTGCCAAGAGGCAATGTTCGCTCTTCCTGTATCCAAACAAACAGACACATCTGTACAATTTGATAGGATAATAACAAATTATTGAAACGTCAACTATTATAATAACACATTTGTCGTACATGTGACTTCGATTCTGAATTTTTGCTTTAAATATCCCTACCAAAGTGGAAATAAACCGTAGATAAATGTTACCGTGAAAAAAAGAAAAGCGGACTTTAAGTGGTCTTTAGAATACATTTCCAATGATTAACTGATAATGGTAAATCAATTATACCTGCCAAATCCACAGAGATGTTCCTGTTGCTGTGGACCAAACTCAGCGGGAACTTTGTGAGGTTGTTCGCTGAGGCATCCAGGACCGTCAGGTTAAAGAGATACGCGAACGGCCTCTGAATCGAAGACTGCAGCTTGTCGCTCGTCAAGTTGTTGTTGGATATGTTGAAACAGGCCAGCGCTGAATGCTTCGGGAACTGACCTGGGAGTTAATAAATAATAGTTTAAAAAAACTATCAAAATATACCTACGCTTTTATAGAAAATCCAACTAAAAAATAGAAAATAAATTTTAATAAATTTGAATTAAAAAAATAGTGTAAAAAAATATTATTTTATTGTAAAAAAAGCGTGGGGTGCATGGTATAAGTAGTTATAAATATTTTATGAACAGATATACAGTAGCAGGGTTATATTGATTATATCCTGAAAAACACCCCACCCTTTTTTACAATAAAATCATTTTTTCTTACACTATTTTTAATTAAAATTTATTAAAGCTGAAGCTAATAAAAGCGTATTAAAGTAGATTAGGAGAGAGTTCTCAGTTGTAAGCACAAATTTCCCTGAGGATCATAGTTAATCAAATACTAAAGAATTTTATGCCTTCCGGTTCGAAGATAAACAATACATTTAAGACTTACAGACGTACTAGACTACATATAGCATTGTGGTTGGCGGCATTCCCGCATTTAAAATTTCCCCATTTAACACTAGACGGGCTGTTTGTTCTCTTGTTTAGGTGTTCGCGGTATGTATGTCGTATCACTATTGTCAGAGCGGTCGTGGTCGTCATCCATTATCATTGGTGTGGGCAGATGTTATGCGCCTCACGAGCAATCGCCACACCTCGCGGTTTGTGGTGAGCCTGGTACACTCATGCAACCGCCGCCAACCGCCGCCAACCGCCGACTTGATCTGGTCGGTCCAGTTGTTCGCAGTACGCAAGTGTAATACTCAGACAATCCTGCTGCTCAAACTCTACTAAAACTATCGCCTTTACAACACCTTTTTCCTCTATTTAATCGCTGGTAACCTAAGAGCTATTCCAGCTACTCACGGACATCGACCGGTAGGTGAGCTCACGGACTCAACCTGAGATAGCTTGCTAACACAAGCCCTACCCAGAGCAGTGCTTCACGGAATCTACCACGGGATTGGAATCGCGAACCACTGAGAAAATCCAATATGAAACTCAGTGGGTTTACGACACCCAAAAGAGCTGAGTGTACTATTTTAAATTCCAATAAATGTGTAGAGAATTAATTATTTATCCGTCTATGCATTATACTAGGTTTTTATTTTTTATTTTTTTATTGCTTAGATTGCTGGACGAGCTCACGGCCCTGAGTGGTGTTAAGTGGATACCGGAGCCCATAGACATCTACAAAGTAAATGCCGCCACCCACCTTGAGTAAGAGTTCTAGGGTCTCAGTATAGTTACAACGGCTGTCCCACCCTTCAAACCGAAACGCGTTACCTAATGCTTCATGGCAGAAATAGGCAGGGTGCGGACCTGTGCGAATTCACAAGGTCCTACCACCAGTAAAATATTACAACTTTAGTAATTATAGTAATTATATTACAATACACCACTAGTAATTATATTACAATTTTGTTTGTCTGTCCACCTAATACTTGCGTTATGAAGCTCTAATTATGCTTTTTTTGTCTTATTCTATACAACTTACTTGTATCATTATCACCTTTACCATCTTCCACTGTTTAGCGGCATTAACAATAAAAAATGTATTTATAAACAAAATGATGTTGAGGAAGATCTTGTAATTACGTGCTAATTAACATTCTAGTACAAAGGTCGAGAAACTAAGGGAAGTTTAAAATTCATCTGGCGAGAAAAACACAGACCACATCCTCTTTAGTTTTTGTACGCCATCTTATAATAAGAATTTAGTGCTATTTGATTTACAATTCAAATTTGAACTATTTGTTTCAATTAAATCGATAAGTACCTATTGAAAATATTTTGTCATGTTTATCTCTTCCAAGAAAACACAGTTCTGTATTCGATGTATCTCTGTGTCCTATTACCAATCATTACGCACATTACAGTTTTTGCGAATTTTATTGTTATCTGACGATGTTATTCCATCATCGTAGAAATAATGCGTTGCGTTAAGTAAATTTCATTGGAAAATACCTATTCTGTCTGAAGGATTTGAATTTTTAGAGCAATCATAAACATGAAGTTTGTATAACTGTTTTTTGAATTTTGAAACACAATAATATAAGTAATTGTGGCAACACAGTCAATGTAAGGCAATAATAAATTCTGGTCGTTCATGCACGTATTGTAACTACCTTAAAACAAATTAAAAATAACCTTCTCTCTGAATTCTTTGAATCTAATTAATGAAGCGACCAGTAGTTACAAATTACAGTCCACGCTCTTGTCTGTCGCACATTGAACATATAAATTATCGTATCACTTGGCAATAATACACTGGCTATCTTATCCTTTAGGCTACCACGATGAACAAGCAAACAGATCAAGTAACATTCACACAATAAATAACACAAGAATTTTCCGCTCGTCGCCAGCTCGATCCTAGCTAAAGCGTTGTGGCGGGTAGCCATCATAAAATACAAGATATTTGACAGATACCTGAATCTCGCTTACGACATTTTCAAGATAAGCTTGCATATACACAAGTTGGAAACAACAACGTTCGGACCGTCGGTCTACCGAGCAATATCATCCGCTCGGTGGAAGATCTCCTCTCCGTCGTACATCTCTACAGTGTTGACATCGCTCGATTGTGTGTAGTCACAATACACAAAAAAAGTTAAATTCCCTTTGAAATCCTAAAATAGTTTTGCATAATCCTCGGGTGCTAAATTAGAGTGAGCTTAATGAGTTTTAATAATTATAAAATACGATTGCTGTGTTGCCTAGACGAGACGGTGATACCAATGACAATTTTTTACGACATCCCAAACCTTACCAGGCTCTACAAATATTCGTACCCTTCTACAGATTCTATATACGCCTTCTGCATCTAATGAGAATACCAAACATGCCCCCTCTTTTGCACAACCTCTTAATTCATTTATTTCTTTGGGAAACCAACAGCACAAAACATACATATAATATTTTAAAAAAATGTTACAACAATAACCAAACATGTTTCCACCATCAAAAGCGCATATAAGTAGACAGTGAACAATGAAAAAAAAGAGAAATTTAAGTTTACCCAAAAAAAAAGTTTGTACTCCTTTATCATCGTACGCTCATTTTATTATGTACATCAACTTACAGTATGAAACTTAATAATACTCATCGGACTAAATTATCTTATAAATATTCCAAAATAGCATTTCTATATGCTACAAGTGACAAACAAAAGCTGTCAGTTTTTTTTTATTTGCTTAAATGGTTGGACGAGCTCACAGCCTACCTGGTGTTAAGTAGTTACTGGAGCCCATAGACATCCACAACGTAAATGCGCCACCCACCTTGAGGTATAAGTTCTAAGTTCTCAATATAGTTACAACGGCTGCCCCGCCCTTCAAGCCGAAACGCTTCACGGCTGAAATAGGCAGGGTGGTGGTAACTACCCGTGCGGACTCACAAGAGGTCCTACCATCAGTGAATTAGTATCATATGGAATCCAAGGAGTAACATACCAATAATTTTACTGATATTTCCGTCGGTAAACGCCATTGACGTAAGTCTTCTGAACATGGAGTGGGAGACGTCCAGCTCATCGATGGTCGCATTCAGCACGTGTAGATGAGTCTTATTCTGTTTCACTGAAATCATTTACGAACATATAACTTATGTATGTATTAATACGTGAATTATGTATGTACGTGAAGCAAAAACTTTGTACCCCTTTTTACGAAATTTGCACGAACGTCCTGCGTATGAAATTTCCTACACTTATATAGAATTTAGAGACGAAGTGAAGCATGTTAATATTATTTTTAATTATACATATAAAACACATTAAATAAAAAAAAAAACATTACACATACTACCATGTATTTGACACACGCACGCATGCATACTATTTGTTTAATCAGTTTATTGTCAAACTTTTCTTATTGTTTATAGTCTGTGGTCAAATTGAGAATAGATCAAATATGTCTTTAATAATATTTGTCTAAAGTTAGTCTTGGCGAAATCTTTGACTATAGAAGTAAAATAGTCTTTGACAATAAATTCCTAATAGTGTACAAACTTATAATTTCAATTAATCATGGTCGAATTTCGCTTACCGGGTGACCACTAGTAATACTACATACATTAATGATTGAGGAATTACTGGTGGCCCGGAGACCTTTCCAGTTTCACAAGGACAGGATGGTGGGCGAGCAAAGGCTAAAACAATAAATACAGTTTTTGTTCTTATTGTCATTAAACAAGTGTTTGAGTCTAAGGTTCGTTCGCATTACAGTTTGTAACGGAGCCCATAGATATCGTAATGTGAATGCGGCTAAAGAAAGACCTTGGAGGTCGAAGTCATAATATTATTATTACTAGTGGTCCCGCAGTAGTCGAAAATCGACTATAATTAATTGAAATTATAAGCTTGGACATTAATATGGTTCTATTGTCAAAGAGTATTATAATTCTATTATCACAGATTTCGTCAAGGCTACACTATAGACAAATAATATTAAAGATAAACAAAATTAAACTATTCTCAATTTGACCACAAACTTCAAGCAAAAGTTTGACAATAAACAAATCATGTGTACAATATCTATGTGTGTGTGTGTCAAATACATTGTAGTGTGTGCAATGTTTTTTTTATTGATTTCATATATTATTATACAAAAGGGTGGTCACGACCCTCAGCAATAAGGAATACGACGCAAGGAGGAGGAATATATTATTAACGTATAATTAAAAAAAAATATTAACATTCTGCTCTCCTTCTCTATATTCTCTATAAGTGTGGGAAATACCATTCTCCTGCGTCCGCGCAATTTTCGTAAAAAGGAGTACAAAGTTTTTACTTCACGTATTAATATATAGATAGATAACTGCCATCACATCTATGAGAAAAATGTCGTTTTCTAAAAGGTTTTTGGGAATGGTTTCAATATCGCGTTTTGTTTCATTCCTTTCTATAATAACCTTTGCCTGTGGCCACGAGATAATAAAATTAATGAAATCAATACATATTAGGTTAAAGTTTAAAGCGTTTTACGGTCGCATCAATTCTTGTTTGTTTTAGATACGAAACTTTGAAAGACGTCTTTATGTAGAACAAAGGTTATCAACAACACAGACCGCGTTATCTTACTGTTGATTCAGAGTCACGCAAATTACGAATGTATCATAATAATACGTTATAATTAACTTCTGTGTTTCGCTAAGTTCGTATGAGTTAACTCCTCCATCTCTAACACGTACGACAGCTGTGTATTTTCACACTGAGTTTTCTCAAATATATTTACAAGATACGTCACTAATATAACTAAAAATTAAATGAAATATAATCAAAGTTTAATTATATCTAAGAGTCGCTAATACTGAAACAAATACTAACTATATCATCAGTCATAGAAATTATTTTATCCAGACATTTCAAACTGTCGTATTGAATATTTCGTGTGTACAATCAAAACTTCGTTATCTTGTTAGTTAAAATAGTCACGTTTTTTTCCCCTGCCTATGCTGATAGCCTTGAGAGGCTATATCAGCTTCGCCCTAACGTGCACACAAGCCGGAGTGGTGCTAGCACTGGCAAGAGCCGTGCTTCGCAGAATCTACCACCGGGTCGGAAACGTGGCCCACTGAGAGAACCAGCGAGAAACTCAGTGGGCTGTGTCTGTGGGTTAAGACCGTCACGTTGACTCAGATAGACCGTAGTTGCACCTATATTTAGACATTACGCCGATCCACTATTTTACTAGAATAACGGTTGCCGTAGAAAACGGAGCTACTGACGGCTTCTCAGAAAAACAAGGCAGGATGGTGGTACCTACCCATGTGGGCTCACAACGCTCCTTACCTTCAGGACCTTCTACTGTCTGACAATAAAAAAAAAACCTACTCACATATACCAGGCAGAAACTCCTTCAAGAAGTTAGTGTCCATATCGCAGCAGAAGACGGACATGTTGCCGGGTCCTAGCGTCGTGCAGACGCCCTTCGGCGGGCAAGACGAACGATTCATATGGAAGCATATTCCCAGATTTAAGTACTGTTCTATCGGCTCCGGGCGAACTGTCGGCGGTGGAGGTTGCTGCAAAAGAAATTCAGAGCTAAATGATCGTGTGTGATTTGACCCGGATCGTTAAGACTATGACCGCCGTGTAGGTCACCGGTGACCTACGCGGCGCACTGAAGTAATTACATCGATTTCTGTTACTAATGCGCTAGAATATCTATAAGACTATTTTTTTATTGCATACATGGGTGGACGAGGTCACATCCCACCTGGTGCTAAGCGGTTACTGGAGCCCATAGACATATACAACGTAAATATGCCACCCACCTTGAGATATAAGTTCTAAGATCTCAGTATAGTTACAACGGCTGCCTCACCCTTCAAACGCATTACTGCTTCACGGCAGAAATAGGCAGGGTGGTAGTACCTACCCGTGCGGGCTCACAAGAGGTCCTGCCACCAGTAAATACGAATAACAGACTCTTGGGAGAGACAAATCCGAACGATACTAAGAATGAATCTATTTCTAAAAGACTAAAACTAAGTTCTTCCAACGAGGCTTGTGGAGAGTATTAAACGGTGGGCAGCGGCTTGGATCTGCGCCTGGCATTGCTGGAGTCCGTGGGCGACGGTAACCATTCACCATCAGGTATGCGCGTTTGCCTATATGGCATTAAAAAAAACGTACATTAACAAACAAAAGAAAGCAATTACCGTAGCCTTAAATTAACCACAACCTGAATGAAACTGTCAGATCTGGAAACATGGATTTAAAAATTAAACTTAATATCATTCGTAAAATTCCATGTCCATATAGAATCGGAGAGGTCAACGGTAATAAGCTGTCAGAACACACGCCTGTCGTTTGACTTTAGAGAAATAAGTTCAAGGCTTGGTAACTGACCTCTCTGGGTGCGGGCTGGTCGAAGTCATCAACCCGCATCTCGATGCACGGCAGGAATGTCGCTAGATACATCACAAAACACCATAGTGATAGCTGTAACAAGGAAAAAATACGTTAACATAAGATTTTACAAATAAGGTTATTATTACGAAAGCTTTTAAGTCTTGATGCTGTGGTTTTCTGATTTAGTATATTTTGATTAGATCAGTTAGTGTATTCCATGATTCCATGGATATGATGATAATTTCAAGGTTCCTACTAACTATGAAAAAAAAATTTTATTCCTTAAATGGGTGGACGAGCTCACAGCCTACCTGGTGTCAAGTGGTCACTGGAACCCATAGAAATCTATAACGTAAATACGCCACCCACCTTCAGATATAAGTTCTAAGGTCTCAAGTATAGTTACAACGACTGGCCCACCTACCCGTGGTGGTACCTACCCGTGCGGACTCACAAGAAGTCCTACCACGAGTACATGGAGGCAAAATATATGTATATTGTATTGTATAACCAATGTTACACCCTTGCGACGAAATTGCACTACTGCTTCGCATTAGAAATAGCTAGGAAGCTGCTAAACCCGTGAAGGCTCACAATAAATCCTAGCTTCAATCTTAAATATTGTAATATGCACAGGACTTAGGCTTTTATGACAGGGCTTTGTGGATATTTTTTTTATTGCATAGATGGGTGGACGTGCTCACGGCCCACCTGATGTTAAGTAGTTACTGCAGCCCATAAACATCTACAAAGTAAATGCCACCACCCACATTGAGACAAGAGATTTAAGGTATCAGTTGTAATAGTACCTATGATACAGCCATTTAATCTTAGATTTTACTGAAATAATTAAGTCGACACGTACATTAAAAACCAGTTTTTTTAACTATAGCATCTCTCGATCAACCCAAGGCTCTGCAACAATAAACTACGGGCTCTTAGAAAGTCAGTCGGCCGTTGAAACCAATTACGCAAATCACCTACCTAATAAATAGCATGCGTTAAAAACAGATCAGATACAAACATGTGAACAAACAGCTGGTATCTATATTCAACTTCACATACAGTTTAATACACTAATTTTTAATATACTGATTTCTAAATTATTCCAAAATCTATATATGTCAATGTTATTAATACAAAAAATGGTGTGTGTGCAACTTGGTGCACGTGAACGAAGTGAAACTTCTTTTGTGGTATGTAGTATTATGATTTTCTTCATTTTACGTCTTTAAGTCTAATTTATCTTGTAATAGGAGTTAATGTGTATAAGAGAAACGACTTTTTTTTTTATTGCCCTTGTAGGCAGACGAGCATACGGCCCACCTGATGGTGAGTGGTTACCGTCGCCCATGGACTTCAGCAATGCCAGGGGCAGAGCCAAGCCGCTGCCTACCGCTTAATACTCTCCACAAGCCTCGTTTGAAGAAGGACATGTCATAGCGCTCGGGAAACACCGTGATGGGGAGCTCATTCCATAGCCGGATGGTACGCGGCAAAAAAGATCTCTGGAAACGCACTGTGGATGACCGCAGTGGCTCCAGGTAGTATGGATGAACTCTACTCCGGTGGCGGGCGGTGCGATGGTAAAAACGAGATGCCGGTATCATCTCGCATAATTCCTCAGAGCACTCCCCATGGAACATACGGACTAGCTAAGTCGTTTCCGTCTTTCCACGGTCGAGTGATCGAGTGATTCGCGAGACGCTCTGTCTGTTTTCTCACTCTCGCTCTTCTTAAATTGTATCTTTTCTCTCTAGCCGTAACGCATCTCTCGCGAGTTAAATTCTATTCTATACGCGCCTAAAGAAGTTTCACTTCAAAAAGCTAATATTCTAGCACATTTGTGGATTGCCGCGTTAATGAACTTTTCAGTCAATAATTACTCACAACCTTCCTCAGCAAGCAGAGGCATAGTAGAGAAAATTTGTTTATTAAATAAATATTCGGGCTATTGATGGGATCCTCACATCGGTGACTCGATGACGATAAGAATTGGACTTCATCACGATACTGGGTCAGAATTGTTTAGACATTAATGGTTTTTAGAATTGTTTATAAAATGGTTTACCGATTTAATTATTTTAAATTAACATCATAATCTGTGTCTATCGGTTTTTTTGTTTGTTAAATTTTTAACGAAATGCTTGGGTCTGTATGGTGAGTTTTGATTGTACATTTTCATATTCCTTCCGGTGCTCCTTAAATTTTGATTTGCTGGAAGAATACGCATGTCTGAGCTAAATTCGCTATTGTGCACAATAAAGAAAATATAAAATTATTCTGTTACAAAATGAGCGTCTCGCGGAAATGCTAAGGAATCGTCACAATCAAGCGGCCCATACAAATAAATATGTATACGTATGATATTTACTTTCAGAAATACCTAGTGATTAATAAGCAACAGTCCCACCTCTGTTTGTTTCTATTATTTGTTCGGTCGATAGCAATGACCTTCATTGTGAGTTCATAAAAATAGCTTCCAAAGGAGCGTTCGCTTTGAAACGATTGCACGTAAATACCTTCGTACCTCTTATAAAATTAATAGTGTTATGAAAAATACGGTGATATTCAATACATTTTTATACTTCAAACTTTAAATTCTTAAAAAAAAAAACATTATTTATTAAGAGACTAGCTGACCCGGCAGACTTCGTAGTGCCTCAATCGATAAATAAAAGACCTAAACTTTATTTAATTCCGAGAATTTTCATATTTATCTACCTTTTAAACCCTCTCTGGACTTTCACAAATAATTCAAAACCAAAATTAGCCAAATCGGTCCAGTCGTTCTCGAGTTTTAGCGAGACTAACGAACAGCAATTCATTTTTATATATAGAGATTTCTTAATAATAAATTTAAAATTACCCCATATTTTTTACTGGTGGTAGGACCTCTCGTGAGTCCGCACCACCCTGCCTATTTCTGTCGTGAAGCAATAATGCGTTTCGCTTTGAAAAATGGGGCAGTCGTTGTAACTATACTGAGACCTTAGAACTTATATCTCAAGGCCGCATTTACGTTGTAGATGTCTCTGGGCTCCGGTAACCCCTTAACACCAGGTGAGCTGTGAGCTCGTCCACCCAGCAAAGCAATAAAAAAATAAAATAAAATGTAATGTTATACATAGATAGTGGCAAGTGTTTATAACCTTGTATACATTTAGTTTTATTGCTCACAGATACCGCACTCTAAAATACCGTTGTATAACGTGCCAAAGCTCACTATTGATAAAGAACTTGCGTTAAAATAAACATTAGAAACGGAATGGCGTTCATTGTGGGTCAGAAAATACGAGGCTCATAAAATAAACTTTTTAAAAATAACTTACAAATAGGAATGTCGTAGATAATGTCAACCAAAGGCCGTATTGAAGATTAATAATAGTGCCCGCAATAATCTTAATTAGATTAATAACAGAATAATAGATTTATAACAAAGGGAGACTAATAATCACACGGCTATCTAACCACAAGCTCGGTTTCCCTCAATGGAAACCAGAGACTAATATACATTTAAATACAAACAGAGATGTTAAACATCCAGATAAAAAGCGGGCGAACATGCTCGTCACACGAATATAATATTATATTATATTATATTATATATTATATAATGCCCTATATAAAAATTGAACTCACGATTAGGGTTGCCAGAAGTCCCGTATTTTAGGCTTAGTTTAAAATGTCCCAGCGGGATTGACTCTGTCCCGTATACGAACCGTACGATTATAATTGTAATGATTTTATAAATATGTTAAAACCGATAACAATATGTTAAAACTGACTTGCTCCTCGGAGAAATATAAAAAAAAAAAAAAAGATTGTCACTATATAATTTTGTTTTTTATTTGCCACGAGTAAAAAGCTAAGGTCCCGTATTTTTTTGCCTATTTAAGTATTTGCCTTTATAGGCTGAAAAAAATCTGGCAACCCTACTCATGACCCTAGGTCCAGCAGTCAGGGTCACTACTGCAGCACCGGGTCAGTAAAATAAATTACTTCAACTAACTCTGAAGTCATCGTGGCCCAAATAATGAAACACCTGATGTAAAGTACACGCCGATGCGACTATATTAGGGCTTACATTATTTATTTATACACGCTTCATGTAAAATTTACATTGCCGGACTTAATGCTTAAGGCATTCTCTACCAGTCAACCAAAGCAAAGTGCAGAGTAAATAGTGCTGGGTGCAATTAAGTTAACTTTATTTTTTCTAGATTCCATTTTTTTCTTTTTAGAGGCATAACATCGTGTAATAAAAATTATTATAGAAAGCGACTTTATCGCGGAATTACTGTTGGGAGGATCCATAGAGAGCCATGCGCTCAGCTTCAAATGTGGGATAACCGTTACACAATGCGATATCAGGATTCAATGTGGGTCACATGTCACATGTCGGATCTTCCTGATCCACTATTTATGGTCTTAGACATTCCAAGCGCCAGTCACCGTTCTCGTCCAACCGGTCGAAAGCAACGAAGTCGTGAAAATGAACTCACAGACACAGCTAAGTTCTTTTTATGTTTGAGAGATTACTGGTGGCTTGGAGGCCTCTACTTACAGTTTCACCAGGACAGGTGGACGAGCAAAGGCTCAGCCAGAGGGGGGAATTTGCTAACAGCTGTCCGAGCGTCCCCAAAGGAGACCTAACAACTCAAGGGCAGCTGCTTTGCGAATGAATCTACTACCAGATCGGAATTGCGACCCGCTGAGAAGATCCGGCGAGAAACTCAGCGGGCTGATAAGTTAGGTTGCGCGGCGAACTCTTTGCCGAGTTCGGCGAGTATGGTTACCGTGGTCCCTAAGTCTGCTCCTAGTGTTAGAGATGAAGGCGTCTAATGCAATGTTATTGGATCTGATGGATTCGTAAGGACGTGTAAACAGCTAAATCGCTGGGCTGAGATACACGTCCGGTGAGGCTAGAATAACCCCTCGGCTACAGTCATAAGTAGGAAAAAAATGATTGACAGCATTCATATAGTGACATTTATGAACTCCCGTATCCACTTAATAACAGGTGAACCTTGAGCTCGTAACCCTAACACACCCTTAATGCAACAAATAAAAAAATGACCACACCCTGG